CCCTGTGTTTTCATTTTTCATTTAGCAGCTTCTGAACTTCCCCATCATTTTCATTAAACCAGTCTTGGTGTTTGTGAGTATTCTGACCCAGATGAGCAAATGCACTATTATACACCAAATCTCTGAAAGCTGTCCACTCCTTTTCTGCTCTACTGTTGCCAACTGTGTTTGGCTCAACTTTCCCTCCAAATTAGCAACAAACTGTTCTCACCTAGAGAAGAGATCTAATCTATTGACATTAATGCTTCTGGTAGTCATTTTGCTTTGAGGATGACACTTTTGTTAAATGTGAATATTTAGCTTGGAGATGATAAGTCTATGATCAGTCCAGCACTCTGCACCACGCTTTGCCTTTGTCACTCTCACATGCTGTCTGTCTCTTCTCTTTACAATCACATAGTCTTTAAATGCCAATACTTGCTATGAGAGTGTATCCATGAAGTTTTATTGCATTTAGGTAAACAGAAGACAGTATTAGTGAAGAGAAGGTCATAAGATGCTTCTTCAAGTCTTCGGTAGTAAGTGACCATTACTGTTGCTGTTTCCAACTCCATTCCTCCCTAGCACTACCTGCCAAATCTGGTAGTCTGAGCTTACTCTAGTATTAAAGTCACCCAGAATTATAAAATTGTCCTCTTTTGGCACATTGATGATAAGAGTATCCAGGTTTTCATATTTTTTTTTCTTTAACCTCATCAGGGTTCATCATGTTGGGAGCATAGGCACTGACAATGGTCATGTGATGTTTTCCTGCTAGTGGCAATCACACTGTCATGTGCCTGTCTCATTTGCTCCTTTTGTTAGGCATACAAGCTTGTTGACTAGATTAGTTTTGATTGCAAAACCTACACCAGCTTCACAGTGCTCCCCTTTACTACAGTCACTCCAGAAAAATGTGTATCCAGCTCCAACTTCAGTAAGCTGGCCTTCATTTGCCAGTCTTGTTTCACTCAAGGCTGCTATTTGGATGTGATTCCTGCTGAGCTCTCTTGCAACAAGAGCTATTCGTCTTTCAGGTCTACTGGATTTTGTGTTATCTATAAGTGTGTGCATATTCCATGGTGAGTGGAATCATCTTTGAAGACATTTTTGTACATTTTTTTGTGTGTTTAGACCACAGAGTGGGATTCTCCGCCTGCTGTGTTAATCAGGCCAGGGTTGGGTAAGCAGACAACTTTTAGGGCACCTTTTCTAGCCCCTTCCTCACACCAACAGGTGAGCAGTAAGATCCTTAAAAGGCTGCTCAGACACCCAGGGGACTGCTGAATCCCACCACTGTGTCCAATGAGAAAACAACCCTATGGCCTGGGCCACCCATGTGCAGGATTGTTACTACAGTTCCCAGTGTATCCATACCTGCTGCTTTATCACTTGCCTGTTGCCACAGGACTTTGAGATAGGTAAAATGGTAAAAGGGTATGGGTGATGTCTTTTGATTCAAGTGTTAATTGGATTTAAGTGAGGCAGAGCTACAGGAAGTCATTGCTCACTATCTCCTCCAGAGTCATCATAGTCCAATGGCAAGAAAGAATCAATATGACTGGTGATGGCTCAAGATGCAGTGGATGACCTTGGCGTCTTAGATGTTTAACCAAGCTCAAAGCACTCCACAACACCTGCTTCAGCTGCCTTCATGGCCACTGGCAGAAATTGTTCTCCTCCACCCATTCCACAAGGGAAAGCTTTCACATGCTTGGGGTAGACACTCCCCTAACTCACCAATGGGTTTGAGACTCTTCAGTTAACCTCAACCTGGTTTAGCCTGTGTGCCAAAATGGTTTTCAGGATGTGGCCACTGCGCATACTGCAGCTTCTTGAAGCCAGTGGTAAGAGTTAAGTGGAACAGGTGGACACCAAAGGTGGAAAGCAGCCCTGAAAAGGGCTCAGGGGCCATCACACCAGAGGTACTAGTCTTCCCTGAATATACTCTACACATACTCTATATATAAACATGTAATCTATCTACTAAAGGAAGTAAGAATATCTAACTTGTAAAAAAGGAGAAAGCACAGAATCACTGCCCTCAAATATTCAAATTTCTATTATGAGTTTTACTTCTGAAGAAATGAAGGAAGATGCAAAGTGACTTGCTCATATGTTACCTGGCTAATAAAGATCTGAAGCAGCACTTGAACCCTATTATTAATGACTAGGTCCAGTCCTCTATACACTGGACTAAAGGGTTTCTCTGACTTTGTTATATTTGACCCCAGAGAAGAAGAACTGGGAGCATTTGGTGGGATGACAAATTTCATCTCAAGATAAGAAAAACCTCCTAATTATCAGGGCTCTCAACAGGTGGAAGAAATTGCCTCATGTATTGAATGTGTTTCCTATGTGGTAGTCTTGTTACTTACTTTAAGAGGGAGTTTTTCATGATCACAATGTGCCTAGCACAGAGACATGTGGAACTTGTACAGCTCCCTTGACTTACAACAGTGTCCTATTTATGAGACACTTAACTAAATGGTTGTTAAATGAAGTTTCTTTGCTACTTACTACATATCTGATTTTGGTCATTGCTTTACCTTTCTAAGCCTCAGTTTCCTTATCTGGAAATTGAAGAGATTTGACTAGATGATTTCTAAAGTTCCTTCTAGCTCAAATCCTAAGGTCCTAAGAACTATATGAGCTATATAGAGAGCCAATGAGGGAAAAAGAGAGGGATACAATGGTTTAGTGTAGCTGTCCTTGACTGGAGAAGATAAAATAAAGGAAAGGAATGATGCAAACACATTAATTGTATCTGCTCAATTGCAAAGCTCTTTGGAAACTTTTGGACCCTGTATTACCTAAACTTTTTGGTCTTCATTCTAAATTGACATTTGTGATAGAATAGTTTGAAAAGTCAAGTCAATAAGTTCGTGCAAACTGTATACTAGGCATTGAGTTAGGCACTGAGAAAGGCAAAAACCTCAAGGATTTCACATCCAGTGAGGGAGACAACATGCTTATAATCATGAACAAACAAGAAATACACAAGGTATATAGAAGATCAGAAGGAATTCATGAGCATTAAGAGGGACAAGGAAAGGCTTATGATAATTCTTATTTATACATATCTAACTTTAGAAAATATGGAACCTAGTTTACAAAACTTGCCTACTTATTTCCTGTGTGTCAGCTACTTACATGTCCCTGTTAAAAAGAGGAGAAAGAAAAGAAGAAGAAGAAGAAGAAGAAGAAGAAGAAGAAGAAAAAGAAGAAGAAGAAGAAGAAGGAGAAAACTATAACATGATTTAGCAAAAGGCACGTCATAGTAGCTCTAGAATGTCAGGGTGTGTGTGTGTGTGTGTGTGTGTGTGTGTGTGTGTGTGTATTCATTTTAATATTGTCACATACTTTTGTTACCTAAATCTTTTGTGGCCATTATTAATCTCTTATTTTACTCCCTAATGCTTCATGAAGTCTAATAAGCTAGAAGGGTCATTCTTTTAGATTAACTAACATAATCAACTCACCTACCCCAAAGAAGTTGAACCCATCATTTACATATTAGACTTAGAAAGATGGGAAATACCAGAGCAACTTAGCTTTAGAAGTATCTGATTGGAAGGGGTGGAAACTGGGGGGGGGGGCAGAGAGAGAGATAGGGGAAAAAAATAAGGTAGAGAATTATACCATTGTCAATTTTCTCCTTACTCAAGTTTTAAGAATGAGAAGTCATTTTTTTAAATGTAGATATTGTGTCAGGAAAGGAAATTTCCATATCACTGAATTCATCTGTGAACTAACATTTTTTTCAGCATATATAAAAACATGTGCTCAAATATATATATGTACATATACATACATACATATATATATATATTTAAAATTATATAACCAACATTAAGAGTATTTGGTTGATTAGCTTTGCTACCACAATCTTCCTATGCCATTAACTTATAGTCTTCTCCACTCTCCCCTAACTTGTTAGGTATCAGATATTTTTGGAATGCTCAATGGATATCTGAGGATACTATTCTTGTTTTGATCAGTGAAAGATACATTTTTGTGATTCAGTAATTTTCAGTCATGTCTGACTCTTTGTGACCCCATTTGGTGTTTTCTTGGCAAAGATATTGGAGTGGTTTGCCATTTCCTTCTTCAACTCATTTTACAGATGAGGAAACTGAGGCGAACACGGTTAAGTGACTTGTCCAGGATCACACATATAGTAAGTGTCTGAGGCCAGATTTAAACCCAGAAAGATGAGTCTTCTTGACTCTATGCCTGGCACTCTACCCACTTTGCCACCTAGCTACCCTTTAAAAATATAAATTACAAATGTTTTATATACTGTCTAAAAATTACTAGGGATATTATTTTCTCTTAAATTTTGTGTTATTATTTTTGTGCAAAAAAGAGTAATATTCACCAAATAAATGTCTCCTAGACTTTAGAAGCTTTGTAATAGAATGAGGAGTCTACTTTCTCTCAATATTTATTATGCTTAGGAAATTACTAGTTTTTGACTCTGATTTGCTTTTCAGCTCATTCATCAAAGGGGAACTATTAAGAAACAAACAACTCTTATCAGTTAGAATTTTAATGAATTAAGATGAAATGATAGAGTCTTAGTTGGCAGCTGATGCTGCAGGGTAAGTTTCTACATGTTGAAAGTAATATTAATTTATCTCATGATTAGGGTCAATTTGTTCTATTTAATTTTATGGTTACATTAAATATTTTAGGAATCCAACCATTGTGTGTGTGACCTTCTCTTTCCTATGAAATGCTTGATTTCATTTGACCTTAGTTCAAGTTGATTAATAATATCATATTTGTTTGACTGCTTTTTGCATCTTTTTTGTTCCTTAAAGAAAATACACAGTGTAGCAAAAACCAAAATATTTTTAGACTAACAGCAATGGCATGGGTATTTAGATAATGTATAATTTATCGTCTTCAAAAGAGATATATTTTTCTGCAATCCACATTTTTTCCACTGAGGATTCAATTCTTCTGCTCTCTCTCTCTCTCTCTCTCTCTCTCTCTCTCTCTCTCTCTCTCATTAGATATAAATGAATGTGAATCAGAGCCCTGTAAGAATGGTGGGATCTGTACAGACCTTGTTGCCAACTATTCCTGTGAGTGCCCTGGTGAATTTATGGGAAGAAACTGTCAGTACAGTAAGTATCATAAGCATATTTTTTTTTTAGTTATGTCTACTCCATGTATTATAGAAACAGCACCAATTGCTATCTAGACTGACAGATAACAAAAAAAAAAAAACCTAGTGAAGATGGTATTTATATTTGCTTCTACAGAGTATTCAGTGCCGTGATTACTGACTTCAAATTAGTTTACATTACTAGTATACGTAATTTTCCAGCTATATTTCACCTAATAAACTCCTGCTTTTCTTTCTTTCTTACCATCTCTTCTACCCTCCCCCTTCCCTAATTTGCAAAATAGAAAAAGAAAGAAAAATCCTATAAGCATTTCTTCAAAAAGTGATTAACCAAGTAGGTATGACATGTAGGGAGATGTAGTATGAGGAGGCATTAAGAGTAGAAAGAACATTGACTCTACTGTTCAAAGGAGTCTACTATTTAAATTCTAGCTCTGCCTCTTACTACTTGTGAGAACTTGATTAAGTTGCTTAGCCTCTGTGGGCTTCAGTTTGCTAATCCATAAAATGGGGAGATTGATCTAGATGATTTGTGTGGTCTTTTCCAGACATAGATCTATAAGCTTATGCTATATTAAAAAGACCACTGATAAGAACTCAGAAGACTTGTGTTCTCTATGTCTTGCTCTATTCCTTATTAGCTATGGGACCTTGAATGTGTCACTTAAACTTGCTGAAACTGTGTTTACTCATTTGTAAAAAAGGGCACGACAATTTATGAAGCCAATATAATTTAATGTAAAATGTATTGGATTTTGAGCAGATGACCAGGGTTAGAAACCTTGCAAATTGAGCAAATCACTTTACTTCTCTGGGCTTCAGTTTTCTCTTCTGTAAAATGAAGATGTGGGATTAAATGACCTCTGAGGTCCTTTCCAACTTAAAATCAAGCATCTTGTCTGGTCTATCCCACTGGATGTTGTAAAAAATAAAATGCAAGCACTCCATAAACTGTAAAGGCCTAACTATAGACAAGTATTGCTATTTTTGAATTTTAAAGTATAATTAGCCTCCGTACTATTGAATAAATTTATTAAAATAATGAAATTTTTAGAATAAGAGGTGGAGGTGGAAGGGAAATGAGAAATACCCTGTGAGATAGCATTAGAGAATAAACAGAATCTCCCTCTCTTCCTCCCTCCTTGCTATTGAGGAAAAGGAGGAAAGTGAAATGAATGGAAGGCCAGTGTCAGGAATGTTATAGAAACAGATGAAAGGAATATATGGGGTACAGGGACAGGGGAACAAGAAAGGAGGAGAAAGACATGAAAAGAACAGAGAATTTAAATACAGCAGGTTTGAGGGCTCTTGAATTATGTCTGTGCTGTTAGATTTCATACACACACACACACACATACATACATACATATTGTATACAAACATACACATAGCCATTCAGGAAATCTACATATATTAAATTAATTTATTATTAAATTAATATTAACAAATAACATATACATAAATACACACATGGCATATTCACATATTTATTTTTTCTTTTTTAATGTAGTATTTTATTTTTCCTTAATTACATATAAAAACAACTTTAAACATTCATTTTTAAAATTGAGTTCCATACTCTCTACCTGCCTACCCTCTTCCCTCATTGACAAAGCCAGCAATTTAATATAGATTATACATGAGTAATCATGTAAAACAAATTTTCCTATTAGTCATATTGTAAAGGAAAACATAGACCAAAATAAAAACCAAAGAAAAATAAAGAAAAGTTAAAAAAAAAAAGCATGCTCTAATCTTTACACAGACTCCGTCAGTTCTCTCTCTGGGGATGGACAGTATTTTTCATCATAAATCCTTCAGAATTGTCTTAGATCATTTCATTGCTGAGAATAACTTTTTTTTTTATTTTACATGGATTCTTCCTTGAAATAAGGATAAGGAAGGAATGAATAAAGTTACATAGCATCATATGTTTAAAGCTGGAAAGGACCTCAAATGTCATTTATATTGATTATATTCTATTTCAACCCTGTCCTCTTGCAGATGTGGAAGCCAAAGCCTAGGGAGGTTAAATGTCTTAGTCATCATTACTTAGAGGATAAAAACAGAATGTGAGCTTAGTTCCTCCAACTCCAAATCCAACATTTTTTTTTTTCCATTATACCATTCTGACTTTGCATAGCTAAAACAGTAGAGGAAAAAATGTGTCAGACAAATTTTGTCTACATTTTCACAAATACAACTACTATTCAGAACAGCTTAGGAACCAAATTGTGAAATGACTGTTTGGTAGTTTTGATGACCTGTGATGTATCTTTAGATTCAAAATGATTAAAGATTCATCAATGGTTATAAACTTGGAGAAACAAATAAAACCCCTGGTTTTGTTCGTAGGTTATATCTATGTTACTAAGTTACTTATTTCAAAAGTCATTTCTTTGTTTAACTGTCTTAATAATTGGTAGACTATCCAACCATATTGAATTGTCCAAGCTATTATCCCTATTGTCTATTATGACAATTAGAAATGTTGGGTTGACAAGCTTTTGTATCATGATTTATCATTTTATATGCTGTCCTTTCTATCTCTCCATCAGTCAAAGAAAATGTTTGTTTTCTTTACTCTTTCTCTACCTCTAACTTTGCTATTTTTTTCTTGCAACCTTGCCATCACATTTTAAACAATACTGTAGTCCAGGCTTAGCCTGTACTTGCAAGGGAAATTATGTGAATGTCTATTTTTTTTGTTTTATTTTCTATGAATTATACTGCTATCAAATTTGCCTGTTGGCTCCAATTTATTAAATCCATTCATTAGTTTTTGAGTTAAAATACTAATTAAGGATAATCTCTTTATATTTAAACAATCTAGATAATCCTATCAAATGCATTTCAATAATAATGATGTGGACCCATTACTCTAATTCATTCACTTTATCAATGTACATTGTAGAGAACCTTAGTGTTATTTGGAATTTGTGTCATAACCCTTTTTAATTATGCCATTATAGTTAATTATGTGAAAAAAGTAGTCATTACAAAATTCAATCACCTAATCAAACATTTATCAGCAATAATTAAATTAGGTTAAGCATAAATTTTGTAACTTCATTGATTGCCTAAAATTTATGTAGAATTTTCTGGTAATTGTTTACTAAAATGTTCTTAGAAGAAGGATGTTCATTCAATTAAGAATTAATGACAAATTGGTTGACATACGCCATCTTCTTCTGTAGATAAAAATGGTAGGAAGACCACATTCAATTTAATGACTTTAAAGCTTTGTTCTAATAAGTTTTGCTATTTTAGTGGAAATACAACTTTTGCGTGATGAACCCAACTCAGTCATTTAATTTAAGCCCTTATTTAGAGCCCCTTGGTACTCTTAAATGATATAAGCCCTTGCATTAAACCAGGCATTTCATAAAGATTATGAAAGAAAAAAAATATGATTAACTAGAATAAGCAAGCCTAGCCTCACTCTAATAGGGGGCTCCTTTGCCATGTATATTTAGCAAAACATGATGTGGTAGTGAAAAGTAATGGCAATAGAAATTGATAGGCCTTTAGTTTGCTAATCTAAAAGAATGTGTCACTGCTTTCATATGTTCGTCTATGTGTTCCACAGTACCTATGTACTGAAAACCTGCATTTTCCTCCTGGGTATTTAAATGTTACATAATTAAATTTCCAGGAATGAGACTAAAGTCATTCTTGTTCCTAACATTGTTTTTAGAAATGAAGATGGCCCATCATATCTAAGGGCAGTTCTCACAGGGAAGGCATGTGGAGTCTCGGGATTACACTAGCAAAGAGTGCAGCTTTTTGCAGTCTAGCAGGGTTTTATTAACAACTAAAGGAAAACTCTCTAATTAAAAGAAAAGTAGATTAAAAAAAAAAAAAACCAAGCTGTCTACCCTGCCCATCTGCTTTCAGCATGTGACTATATCCTCTGCCCATTCACTCTCTCCCTCACTATGTTGGCTCATGGAAGAATATATATAGTTTTCACTTTAGCTCCTGACAAACTAGGTCACCATTATAGAAATGCCTTTCTAGGATAGGGATGTTTCCAATGAGTTGGAATGTTAATCTAAGGATAAACTGTTTTACCCTTTTGTATTGATTTGCACCTTACCTATGCATGTGCTCATGTGCAGTAAGAGATAGGTATCTTCAGAAATTTTATGCTAATGGGACCCATAAATCACAAAAGTTCACATAAAAATGTGGAAGGAAGAGATAATTTCTTGTCTTTCTCCTAATTTCTCCAACAAATTGGACTGCACATCAGCAAGAGACCAAGTAGGGTCAGTTTTCCTCGGTTGTTATAAATGGGGGGGAGGCACATTAGTGATTAATTCCTTAGCCATCATGTGGGGGGGTGGGATGCTCAAGCACTCTGGAATATGCCACACATACCATCTACTTTTTCCTTCCCCCCAACACAACACCTGAGAAATTCAACACAAAAAGAGCTAAGCAACAGGTATATATTAAGTGTATGTGACAGGCATTGCGGCCCCAGGGGATGTGAGTTCAAAGAATAAAACAATCCTTATTCACGAAGCATGTACATCCTAATGAGTTAGACAACAAATAGATTCTAAAACACCTAAAGCATAACTATGAAGTGAATGAATTCAAACATATACAAAGTAATTAAATACAAGACTGGGAGGGAGAGAACTAGCAGCTGGGGGCATCAGGAAAGGCTTCACGCAGAAGATGTTTGGCTGTTTCTTAAAGGAAAAAAGGGATTTTATGAGGCCCCAGATAGGGGTACATTCTAGATGTGGGTGATACTGAAGGCAAGGACACCAGTATAGGGAATGGAACCGAGAGAAGGTTACTTTGGCTGAATTGCAGTGTGAGTTACTCTATAAGAGTCCGGAGTAATGTCCAGTGAGGCAGGAAAGCTAGTTGGGGCCAGCTTGTGAAGAGATGTGAACAGAGATTACATTTTACTCTAGAAGTAATAGGAAACCACTGGAATTGATGAAGCAACATGACCACTCTGAGCTTAAAGAAAATTTC